GGTTCGCCATCACTGATCTAGGCCTTAGTTGTATTTCAGCTCAGGCCCATATAAGCAACACAACCAGCAAGGCTGACCTCAGGACCAGCTGTATTGAATAAATGTTCCCCTGCCCTGGTAACCGCCAATCAATCAGCAGAGACCTCAACCCTGAATGGACACACCTGAAAAACTGCTGAATATTCTATTGAGACCTTCCCCAGGGACCTCCCCTAAAATCTCCACCCTTAAAACCCTTAGAATGGAGGACCCAGGGGGCTCGCTGGTGCCTTTTCTTTTCTCCTCTACCTCGCCCCCCCTCTCCCTCAGGCACATTACCATTAGCTTCCCCACTCCAAAGGCCCTTCCTTTACCTTTATAACTTATTTTCCAAGACCATTTCTTCTAGGAATTACTTCTTCTACTTCTGTAATTTACCAAATAAATGTTCTCTTACAGTTTGGGTCTTGCTCTGAATTCTTTCCTAGCCAGAACCCAAGTACCGAGGTTGCTGAACCCCACCAGTCAGACAAATGGTGCCATTTCCACCACCTACAACAGATAGAGCAGTGGTTCTCAACCTTGGCTGCACATTAGAATCACCTGGGAATCTTTTTAAAATCCTGATTTCTGGGCCTCATCCTCCGGAAATTCTGTTTCTTTGTTACTAATGTTGTGGCCCCACCCTATAACAAAGAAACAGAACTTCCGAAGAATGAGGCCCAGAAATCAGGATTTTAAAAATATTCCCAGGTGATTCTAATGTGCAGCCAAGGTTGAGAACCACTAAGATAGAGGGTTGGCTTGCGGACTGAAGGGTTTCGGGTTCCATTCTGGTCAAGGGCATGTACCTCGGTTGTAGGCTTGATCTCTGGTCCCGGTAGGGGTGTGTACGGGAGGTAACCAATCCATGTGTCTCTCTCACATTGAAGTTTCTCTCCCCCTCCATTTCACTCTCTCTAAAAAATAAACAGAAAATATCCTCAGGTGAGGATTAACAAAAAGGAACGTCCCAAGAGAAAACTAATCTTGAGATGACTGAATGTTTGCTAACTATCATTTCTTCATTATTAACTTCCATGAGAGCCTCAGAGAGGCTTAACAGGTTACCCATTCTACTCAGAATTGCCCAAAACAGCCCAGTCCACACTGCTTCAACCTGTCCCAGTTGGCAAGTATGTATATGGAATACATACTTGCCAACTGGGAGAAATTTGACCCTGAGTCCCTCAAGAAAAAGGCTATTCTTTTATAACACAGCCTGGTTCTGATATAAAGTGGGCAATGGAGAGGTTTGACCAGTTAATGGCACCATTAATTTTAATACTATCTTACAACTAGACCAGTTTACCACTCCCAATGCAGTCCCATACACCCAAACCTTTATGACTCTCAGGTGACCCTAAGCTATGTACTTTCTGTAAGCTAGAAAAATGTACCCAAATGGAAAGAAACATTCCAAAAATGGGTGAATAGATTTGTCAGTCCAGTGCCAACATTCGGGTGGCAACCCAGTCCCTGAGTTATTGAAAATGACTGTCCTTGTTTTACAAATGAAGTCTTCACAGGACCAGAGGTGTGGCTCCAGAAACAATTCAAAACCCACCAATTCCTTTTACCTTCCCCAAACCTCCCCTATTCATCTCAGGAAGCTTTTAGATAATTGGCTTTAGGAAATCAAAGTCAAATTCCAGATCTTCATCGAGAACTCTTATCTGGGCCATCTTTTTAAAATGCAAATCTCTGGTGACTCTTATCAAATGGGGGAAAACGCAGATCCATTTAACTTATTTCAGCCATTCCTTTTTAAATTAGTGAATTTTAGAGTTATTAAATATCAAAATATTTTGAAATAATATGAAATACTGAAATGTTGATTGCTAGACCAGTCTTAAGTTCACCTGCTTTTGGCTTTTTATTGCAGAAAGTCTATAAAGTGGATTTGGAACTGTTGATGTAATGTCTTGTGCTTTATTGAAGGTGTTGTGGTTTTTTAAATATATTTTTATTGATTTCGGAGAGGAAGAGAGAGGGAGAGAGATAGAAACATCAATGCTGAGAGAGAATCATTGATTGGTTGCCTCCTGCACGCCCCACACTGGGGATCAAACCCACAACCCCGGCATGTCCATGACCTCCTGGTTCATAGGTCGACATTCAACCACTAAGCCATGCCAGCAGGGCAAAGGTGTGTTTCTTGAAAGTGAGTGTGTGTTTAAAATGTGTTCATAAAAGTCAATCTAAGGAATGCTGGCTATTTACTTTTTGGTTATCATTGGAAATTGAAGTTCCTAAGAATTAAAAGTTCAAATTAAATTAGAAAGAAATTGTAGGCCTAAAACATAGAGATACATCTTTGCAGGACAAGAATTAAAATTGAATTATGCTAATGATGTTATTTCTGAATAGGTAAAATTATAGAAACTCTTATAGAAAGTTATGAAGGTTGTAAAAATTTATAAAAGTCTTAAGTGTTTATAGAAAGAGTCCAGTCTGGCTCCAGTCCTCCTTCCCCGACCTGATTTCTATCTGGGGACATTATTTGATGACCCTGGGAGCCCGAGTTGTTTTCACTGCACTCCCTCTTGCCCTTGTCAGTATGGGGAAAACCTACCTGTCAGATGTCAGTAAATCCTTCATCAAAACGTGTCTAGTCAATGCTGAGATGCAAGGCAAGCCTGCCTTATGGACATGGAGTCACCCGCCCACACACCATCCCCAAGTGACACCTGGGTGATGGGGTCTGTTGAATCAGGACCTGATCACCCCTGACGTGTGAAGAGACCCCTTCTCTCCTGCTCATTTGATGGCACTGAGTTGAGTATGAGACATCCATTCCCAAGGCATCTACCCAAGGTCCCGGGCATTGGTAAGGCCACCTTCAGGACATGAAGTAAACCTTCTCCTTATATTTAGCATTTATTACAAAGATTGTGACAACCCCACTCTTGTCATGTGACATCTTATGTCACGGGGGTTTCTGACTTTTCAGTGAGCCAAAGCAGCCCCATCCAGACTCACTTCTTTTCTATATCATTTCTAGGGAGCTTATGCAGCCCTGCCCAGGCTCTCTCCTGTTGCTTCATTCCGACTGGAGCATAGACTTTATTTTCACAGCTCATTCACAGCCCTTGACACCCTTGAAAATCTCAACAAGTCTTCCCTGCTTGGTATTTAGGAACTTCCCTCCCTTTTTCTAGCCTTCACAAAAGTCATCAAAAGCAAATGAAAACAATCTTGAGTCTTCTCTACAAAAATTAGTAATTCGGATAATGTGTATGGTCTTTATGTGCTTAGTCTTCTTGTGTATGGTCTCTATGTGATCCATATTTATCTGTGTATTATAAAGTGGTGTGTTTTCTGTCTCCAGATGGCATTTCAAGGGTGTGATGTTTTATTGGCCTAAAAAGATATATACCTACTAGAGGCCTGATGCATGCATTCATGCACCGGTGGGGTCCCTCAGCCTGGCATGTGCCCTCGCGCAATCCGGGACCCCTAGGAGGATGTCAGACTGCCAGTTTCAGCCCGATCTCCCGCAGGCCAGGCTGAGGGACCCCACTGGGCCTCTAGTATGCATATAAGATCTTTGGTTAATCTCTTCTCACCCTCCCCGCTCCCCCCTTCCCTCTGAGATTTATCAGTCTGTTCCATGTTTCCAATCCTGTGCATTGAGCGTCTGGCCCCTGGTGGTCAGTGCGCATCATAGCTACCAGTCGAACAGTAGAAAGTTCGCTTAGGCTTTTATACATATAAATATAGATTAAACAGAATCCTGTGGTCTGAACAAAATATTTGATATTAAAACTAGTTTAAGTTTAATTAATATCTTTTACTAGTAGAGTTATTACCATAAAATGTGTTTGTTTTAGCTAGATTTACAAAAAGTTTATGATATAATCTTTTGGGTAAATTTGTCTGACAACCTTCCCAAAGCTTAAATTTTAAGAGACTTTTTTAAACCACGAAATAACTTTTGAGTTATTCCAGTGGGCCCTGGAATACCTCAAGGATTTATTCTCTCTCCTAAGTGTTTTAAAATAATTAGGCCTATTCAATATGCTTGTAAAATTACTTGAAAAGCTGTGCCAAATAAAAGTTAATAACTATATTCTATTTATATACATATATTTTATAAAAATGGATGTGCTAGAAATTTCAGTCTGCTCTAGGAAGAAACTTGCAAAAATCAAAGCCAAGCTCGAATAGGAATCTCTCAGGTAGCAGGTGCCCTGTCACAAGACAAGCCAAGAGTAATGGTTCTTTATGGGGATGTTCAGCAGTGGCACTCCAGATGTTTGTGACCCACACACTGGGGTGTATATGAATTGTTTCCAGTGCTCAGTACACACTTCTAATGAGTCATGTGCAGTGTTTTAAATCTTGCATATTATTCCTTATATATTAAAATTGTGTATTAAATCTAAAAATGTGAGCTTTGTATTGTTTTATGTAATTTCATAATAATTGTTATTTACCAAAATTTATCTTGGAATGTTATAGCTTAAAGAAAAGCAAAATTTTTTATCAATTGCATTGTAATCAAGTCTATAATCATGTCATTTCAGCTTTGTCATTTATACAGTCATTGTTTTACTCTGATGCATTTGCAAATATGTTAAGACTTTGGAAAGATTCACGAAAAGGACTCTAAATTACAGATTTCTAAGCGGATCATCTCTTTTTGTTGTTGTTAATCCTCACCTGAGGACATTTATTCCATTGATTTTTTAAGAGAGTGGCAGGGGGGAGGAGGAGGGGTGGGGGGGGAGTGGAGGTGGGGAGGGAAAGAAACATCACTGTGAGAGAGACACATCAATGCTTCCCACACACGCCCCAACTGGGGCCTCAAATGGAAGCTACAACCGAGGTACATGCCCTTGACTGGGAACTGAACCCACGACCCTTCGGTGCCTGGTCCGGCACTCTAATCCCTGAGCACACTGGCCAGGGCTAAGCAGATCATCTCTTTGAAGTAGAAAAAAAAATGTATGGAACCCTAAGAAATAACTGGATTCATAGAAATACTGGCAAATAGCTTTTCCTGTGGGAGCCGCCGGGTAGAGAGGAGTGTGGCCTTCTCCTCTCCCCGCCATGGCGTGTGCTCGTCCACTGATATCTGTGTACTCTGAAAAGGGGGAAACATCTGGCAAAAATGTCACTTTGCCTGCTGTGTTCAAGGCTCCCATTCGACCAGATATTGTGAATTTTGTTCACACCAACTTGCGCAAAAACAATAGACAGCCCTATGCTGTCAGTGAATTGGCAGGTCATCAAACCAGTGCCGAGTCCTGGGGTACTGGCAGAGCTGTGGCTCGAATTCCCAGAGTCCGGGGTGGTGGAACTCATCGTTCTGGCCAGGGTGCTTTTGGAAATATGTGTCGTGGGGGCCGCATGTTTGCACCAACCAAAACCTGGCGCCGTTGGCACCGCAGAGTAAACACAACACAGAAACGATATGCCATCTGCTCTGCCCTTGCTGCCTCGGCTTTACCAGCACTGGTCATGTCTAAAGGTCACCGTATTGAGGAAGTTCCTGAACTTCCTTTGGTGGTTGAAGATAAAGTTGAAGGCTACAAGAAAACCAAGGAGGCTGTTTTGCTTCTTAAGAAACTTAAGGCCTGGAATGATATTAAAAAGGTCTATGCCTCTCAGCGAATGAGGGCTGGCAAGGGCAAAATGAGAAACCGTTGTCGTATCCAGCGCAGGGGACCTTGTATCATCTATAATGAGGACAACGGTATCATCAAAGCCTTCAGAAACATCCCTGGAATTACTCTGCTTAATGTAAGCAAACTGAACATTTTGAAACTTGCACCTGGAGGGCATGTGGGCCGTTTCTGCATTTGGACTGAAAGTGTTTTCCGCAAGTTAGATGAGCTGTATGGCACTTGGCCTAGAGCTGCCTCCCTCAAGAGTAACTACAATCTTCCCATGCACAAGATGCTCAATACAAACCTTAGCAGAATCTTGAAAAGCCCAGAGATCCAAAGAGCCCTCCGAGCACCACGCAAGAAGATTCACCGCAGAGTCCTGAAGAAGAATCCACTGAAAAACCTGAGAATCATGTTGAAGCTAAACCCATATGCAAAGACTATGCGCCGGAACACCATTCTTCGTCAGGCCAAGAACCACAAGCTTCGGGTGGATAAAGCAGCAGCAGCACTAGAAGCCAAATCAGATGAGAAGGGTGTTCCAGGCAAGAAACCTGTGGTAGGGAAGAAAGGAAAGAAGGCTGCTGGCCTTAAGAAGCAGAAGAAACCTTTGGTGGGGAAAAAGGCTGCAGCTACCAAGAAACCAGCAGCTGAGAAGAAGCCGGCAGAAAAGAAACCCACCACAGAAGAAAAGAAGCCTGTGGCATAAACTTAAATTTGTTTATTCCATAAAGGTCAAATCACTTTGGACAGCTAATTTTGAATAAAAATGATCAAAGGCAATGAGAAACATAAAAAAAAAAAAAGAAATACTGGCAAATAATCAGAACAAAAATTAGTTATATGGGACTGAATGAACTAACAATAATTATTATTACAACTTTGTTAAAAATATTGATTTTTTAAAAACCATTCTGTTTTCCAGATAAGGAAGCTTGTTTCTATTTTCCTTGAACAATTTGGTAAATTTTATCCTTATAAACAATACTACAGCATTTATATTTTTCTCCCTCCTAAACCCTCCAGAATTTGGCAACTCTCAATGAGTGTGTATTATTTTCATGACAATATTGCATAAATCCAATAAGAATCTGTTCTCTTTATAATGGGACACATAAAACCAGGTTCCAATTGTGGTTTTACTAACCAAACCTTTGACTGCAATATCATAATCAAGAGAGACGTGCCTGGATTCTTGGTGTCACCAAAAAGACTTACAGAAGTCAATAAAAGTCCCTTGAAGAAATGGCCTGGTACCTTGCTTGTTCACGTGGTTCATGACAGTCTTTCCAGGTAAGGGATGAAGATTGCTTTCCTGGCAAATGGCAAAGAGAGAACCTCAAGACATTTGGGGGACCTCAAGAACTTGAGAAATCCATCCAAACCCTTGCAGGTAAAGCCAGATGGCAACTGTGCGGCTTGGCTACTGTGCCCTGAAGGGCTGACTAAAAGCACAATCTGAAGATTCCTTGTATGTGAAATTCCAGCAAAGCAAATTTCAAAGAGCCTATATGATCAACTGCTGCTTTTCTTGTTGTGTTTCAGATTTTAAATATAGTCTCTTTATTTTTTTTTTTAAATATATTTTATTGATTTTTCACAGAGAGGAAGGGAGAGAGATAGAGAGTTAGAAACATCGATGAGAGAGAAACATCGATCAGCCGCCTCCTGCTCATCTCCCACGGGGGATGTGCCCGCAACCCAGGTACATGCCCTTGACCGGAATCGAACCTGGGACCCTTCAGTCCGCAGACCTACGCTCTATCCACTGAGCCAAACCGGCTTCGGCTAAATATAGTCTCTTTAATAAAAATAACAATTTTAAGGAGAAAAATTTTGTTTCAATGAAAATTAGTGCCCAAAATTTAAAGCTTTGTTTTTATCTGTGAATTAAACTGGTTTATGAATTCTTCTAGTTGTCTTCAACCCTCCAAGCTAATGTTTTATTTTTCTTCCATTTTTTGACTTGGAATTACTGAGAACTACTGATGCAATGTCAACCATACAAAATTTACCTGAGCATCTGATGACATTACCAGAAATATTTAAACTACAAATAAAGAGGATCTGTCAAATTATCACTGCTTGTTTTATTCCAGCAAAAAAGATTTCAGGGATGGAAGTGTCTGAGAGGGAAATGAGACAGGCCAGTAAGCCAGGATAGGCAAAATGGGGAAAGTGAGACAGATAGTTAAACAGCAGTTTGTAGCCATCTAGTAAATTCCATCTTCCCTATACCAGGGACACTTAAGAATATGTAAATGGTTTGCACTTCTCCTCCCCAACCAGAGGGTAAACAACTTCAATCACCCTACTAGGGGACACAGGTGACAGAAATCCAATTAGTGTCATTTGCCAACCACACTCAAGAACAGAGCAAGTTAAGAATAAATCTTATTTTAATACATCAGTATAAGGCTGTTGAATATTCTACTGAAATCCTCCCCTAAAATTACCCCTAAGCATCCAGTCTTTAAGACCCCTCAAAATAAAGGTCCCAGCCCACACTTTCTCTCAGGAGCATGCCCGTGCCTTCACTCTCCTTTGTCCCCCACAGGCATGCATCTCCTAAACTAAAGAACCCCATGAGCCTTGCAACCAGGGCAGCAATGGCAGTGGCAGTTCATCCCAGGCAACCCCTGAACCTATCCCCACAGCCCCCTTTTCTCTGACTTCTTAGCGAGTCAGAGCAGACCAGCCTAGGCTCATTTCCCCAGCCCCTTGTTTCACATCCCCAGCTCTAATAAACATCCCCTAAAATTCACCTGGATTCATGTGGTGAAATTTTTCCTGCATGAAGTCAAGAACCACACACCATTGGCTGGCCCGAGGCAGACCCACTCAGGGCCAGGTCCCCTTTCTGGTAACAGAGAGTTCTTCAGAAAAGAGGATGAGGGGAAGATACAGAAAGGAGATTGGTAGCCTAATTTCATCTTACTGGAGAAAAAACTTTTTTTCTCTTCCCATTCACAACATAGAGAAATAATAAATAATCATAGCCCTCAACACTGCCTAAGGTACATCTATGAAGCTGTGCTGGATTAGAACACAGACATCTGCTAAGAAGAAAGTATTAACTAGCTCGTGGAAGACCGTTTTTTTGTGGTGGCCTCTAAGCAAATCACCAATACACTTTGAACTAACCCAACAAAGGATAATTCTGTCAATTGTACCAAGAGTTCCACCTGGAATTTTCATTAATAGTATTAAAGCTATATATTAATATGAAAAACGAAAGAAGTTCACAAGAAAAATTGCTAATGTTTGATCTAAAAGATTTAACCCATTCCCTCTAGAACAGTGGTTCTCAACCTTCCTAATGCCGCAACCCTTTAATACAGTTCCTCATGTTGTGGTGACCCCCAATTTCATTGTTACAAATTGAACATAATTAAAGTATAGTGATTAATCACAAAAACAATATGTAATTATATATGTTTTCCGATGGTCTTAGGCGACCCCTGTGAAAGAGTCGTTCGACCACCAAAGGGATCGCGACCCACAGGTTGAGAACCGCTGCTCTAGAAGCTTCCTTCCATGTCAAACGACTGTTCCTGCACTAAAAAACTAAGAAAAGAAATACTTGCACAGTATTACTGTTGGAATAACCCTTCATGTACAATTTAATGCCAACTGAAAGGTACCTTACTAGCATTTACTCACATATTTATGGCAATATTTAAAGAAATATACTAAACAAAAAAAAAGTTACCAAATTAAGACATACTGCATCATTATTTATTCACTTGACAAGTATTTACTGAGTGTCTATTGTGTGCTATATATTGTTATATGAACATGGGAAACAGGTTTCCTAGAAAGTATAAGTAGCTTTTTCTAGGACAATGCTATATATACTTACAACTTCACCTCTTTATCAAAGTTTATCTAAAAACTCCAATCTCTTATTTTGACTTTTATCCCATTTCTTTAGCTAATCTCCAGCAATGCTTCCTCCTGGAAAGCATGATTAACCCTGACACAGCAAAAGAAAACTTCATTTCTAAATAGTTCCCAAGCCCTGTATCCTTGGAGTTCCCATTTCCCTCTTAATCAACCCATGTTTGCTGCAGCCTTCACATTCCAGAACCTATCACCACCACTTCCTCCATAGAAATCATTCAGCGGTCGCCAACCGGTGGTCCATGGTGGTCCGTGAGGTCTGAAAGGTTGGTGACCGCTATCTAAATGACCAAACATATTAGCAGAAAGAGATGTAGCTACTTTATTTTAAAAATCAAAAAGTCTCAAGTCTAGACAATTCTTTAAGTCTGGTCTCATGGTCCCAAACTGATCCAAGTGGGAAAAAACAGATCTCTGATATTTTCAGGAATCACTGGAATTTTTGTGTGATTTTTTTGGTCAAATTCAGTAGAGAGTTATGTATTAAAATTAAACATTACTTTCTACACTTCACCAATGCCCTTCCTCAAAGGGAAAAGTACTGGGAAATCCACCTCTAAAACAGAGTAGCAAAAATAAAGTAGCTGTCATACAACTATATAATATTCATGTACTCATGATTAAAACATTCCATTACAAAGCATAAAGATATTGCCTTAAAAAGACATCTGCAGATGTTTCATGCTTTGTATAGATCTGGCAAATGCCCAAAAGACCAAAAATGCTCTCATTTCCTGATGTGGGTTAGCCAGCTTTGAAAAACAAACAGATAAACAAAAAACACATTAAGTCCAGAAACACTATTAAATTATTTCAGCCCTCGCTGGTTTGGCTCAGTGGATAGAGCGTCGGCCTTTGGACTGGGAGGGTCCCGGGTTTGATTCTAGTCAAGGGGACATGCCCGGGTTTCGGGCTCGGTCCCCAGTGTAGGGCGTGCAGAAGGCAGCCGATCAATGATTCTCTCTCATCATTGATGTTTCTATCTCTCTCTCCCTCTCCCTCCCGCGCTAAAATCAATAAAAATCTATTTAAAAATACATAAGTAAATAAATAAATAAATACATTATTTCAAACATTAACCTTGCATACACTTTAAAGTAACATCATTGTAATTCTAGTCCATCTTATAAAACAGATAACCTGTTTCCTACACATATATCTTAAAGATTTTAAACACATTTTTTCATCATTATTCTCAATCATGTAAATATATTCAATCACCTAAAATGAGCTAAGTGCTAATGGAACTTTCCAGATGTAATGGGCTATTCACAAAGCTCTTACTTTCTTCGACTAGTTTTAAAAAAGAGTAAACTAGTCTCTAGCCATGTTTATAAAGGCCTCATAGCTATTATAAAAACATATAGTTACACAGACCCCTAAGACAAAAGGATGCTCATTTGATAGATGAATTATTCCATCTCAAGATTCTAATAAAGACTACTCTTTATTTCCCAAAACATGCTTCACCATGACAAGATCTACACTGTATTCCAAAAAAAGGATTATTCTGATAGCAATCCATTAAATCTCAAAGGAATCAGTGTATTCTCTTGTTGGCAATGACATCAACCTGTGATGTTTTGGACATTTTCCCACACACTCTCTGAATATTAGAATGTCTAATTGGACATTCTAAAATGTTCAATTACATAACTCTAACTCTAGCACTAGTCCTAAACCTAACCCTAATCCTAATCCTAAACCTAATCCTAGCCCTAGTCCTAAACCTAACTCTAAACCAGTGATGGCGAACCTTTTGAGCTCGGCGTGTCAGCATTTTGAAAAACCCTAACTTAACTCTGGTGCCATGTCACATATAGAAATTTTTTGATATTTGCAACCATAGTAAAACAAAGACTTATAATTTTGATATTTATTTTATATATTTAAATGCCATTTA